TCACATGGCCAGAAATTCCGGACATTTGAGCCCGGGACGAGTCAGCGGGTTTTCCCACCAAAATAGAGCTTTCTACAAGTTCCCTTGAGGTTTGAAGATCAAATTTTCTACTCTTATGCAACGATCCTTTATCTTAATACAATACTGGGCTAAAATCGAAACGTTCAAAACATCGACAAACGAGTATTGGGATAGCACGCCCTGATCCTTGAGTTCATTAGTGCCTTGTGAGGTGCTCGTTTGGAATGTTCATAGTGTAGATAATATTATTTGCTGGAACACACGTTTCCCTCAGGTATTTTAAACAATGATCATCAGTTGATATTGTGATCTTTTGTTTATACTTGTACATTTCTAAGGAATTTAAAAGGTCTGACATTGTTTACACTAGACTTGATTGGCCTATCTTTCGTTCGTATTTCCCGCTATCTGCGCTATTTACCAGTGCGCGCAAGGCGCCAGTAAAAACCACCAAAATTAAAGCAGTCCCAGTCTGAAAGCCACGTTTCTAAGGTTTATTTTGGTACCAAACATGGAGAATAAAATGGAAAGAAAATGGAAGATTAGGCCAAGTATTCGCGTGAAACAAGGTCACGGTCAAGTTAGTTTTTGTACGATTTCTAGTACCAAAATGGACGCTGTTGATCGTCTTCAAAATAGCTGAAAATCGCTGTGTTCCTACTTCAATATGTGGACTTTGAGAAATGATCTATGGAATATCAGTGAAATGTAAAGGAACACGATCAGCCACGGTGAAATTTCGCTTCTTCGCGAATTTTCACCATGAGATACAAGGCCAAAGGGAGACGACGAAAGGAAAATATATTGTCAAAAAGGACGCTGTTAACAATATTGGATTTATTTGGATTTCCTACAGTGGAATCAAGAATAKTTTCCCTTTACGAATCCATCTATGGAATTTTTCCAATTAAAACAGATTCAAGTTCAAGTTTCAAGTTTAATTCAATAAATAATAATAATTTACACATCATAGTTAGCGGGCATCGCAATTAGTTAAGACTATTCAGGGCGATGCCCGCTATAAATACTAATTTAGATTACAAAATGTAAAAGTTTATAACAAGACAATGAAGAAAAAAAACAAATTTTAATCAGGTTTATGTGAGAAAATGTTCTGAAAAAAGAGAAAAGGAAAAAAGAACGATTGAGAAAAAACAAAAACATACTGACAAGAAGAATAAGTAGCTATGTGATTAGTTATTTAGTACAGTCAGGAAAAGCTGAGTAGCCCTTTCAATTCCAAAATAGCTCCCCTCATTCCGCAACATGTAAAATAAATTTGAACRTATAGATTTTTTGAACAGAGGCTTTGGATATTCCCTGATAGAACTGGGGATTGCGTTCCAAAGTCTTACACCGGCTCTAGAGAAAGAGTTAAGTTGAGAGTTTAACCTGGAGGGCTTAGATGAAATGTTATTCTCAAATATATTTTTTGATCCATACATTTCTTTGTAAAATTTACATTCATGTTTTTATGCATTTATGCGAAGTACCGCTGCGATTGCGGGCTCAAATGTCCGGATTTTCTGGCCATGTGAAAACTTCGAAAAAGCGCGCGAACGAGTCTTCCCTGAGCTGTGTACGTTCGGCCTCGGGCTTGGCGGGCCCTTTGGGGATTTTGACAGTTGTACAAATTCCTACGCTCCCTGTAGTAGTCGGGAGTACTTGAACTGATTCCATGAGCTGATTCCATGTCGTCCAATCAGAGGGAACGGTGTCCATCAAGCTCGATGAATGCTTGAACGGATTCAAAAATTGCAGAGCCTGTTTAAGACAATTTCGGGTTAAATGTATACCCTGTTTAAGACAGCAAGGCCAAAAACCATACCCTGGCCAGCGGCACGTCCCCATAGCAAATATATGGGAGTACCCCCCCCCCCCCCCGGGATATATGCACATTAACAGTCATTTGCTAGTTGTGTCATTTTGTCTGGGTCAACATGAATGACCCAACTGTGGTAAATAAGAAGACTTACCACAAGAAACTATCGTGTTAGCGCAGATTAGTGCTTTGAAAGATCAAAAAGTATGTCTCTTCCACTTGATAGAATTGATTCTAAATATTTGGTATTTGTAGCTCACATAATCTACCTTCATAAATACAGATCATGGGAATGTGGAAAGATTTTCATTTTGATACACAATATAACCTCAGTCTATTAGACCTTCGTGAACGATATCGGTTAACCTTTGGAAAGCGCCCGTAGCAGCATAAGTGGTATTTGTACTTATGAAATACCTATGAAAAACCTATATTTCTTCCTTTTGTAAAGTTGGTATTTTCACTAGTAAAAAAAGCACATTCGAGGTTTCTCTATATAGTGGAAGTATGAAAAAAATGTATTTTACGACATAATCTGCTTTCGCATGTAATTATATGATAAACAGAATATTACATGGTCACTTGAAGATACGAATTTTATCTTCTGGTGTTGAAAATCGCTCTGGGTGATTGATTTGCGACAAGGCCTCCATATGAATTCGCCAAGGTTGTAAGCCAGTGAGCCCGTGCATTTTTGTGAAGCGGTCATATTTGAAAGTGTTAATAAAGAAAAGGGAAAACCCGCAGCTCGCCTTTCACTCACACAAGCAGTTCAAGTCGTGCCGAATTTATTTACATAACTAAACAAAATTATTATACAAATAAAACTTTAAGTATCGGAATGCTCATATGAAGCATTTTCCACCTTAAATACAGACGTGCTTTTCAGAAGGGAACTTTTTTCACGATGGAATTTTGTTTTGAGTCGTTTCGACATAAACAGTCGCTATCAAGACATTACACGAAAAACCCCAGTCATCGTTCTAGCTCTCGTTGTATAGTAAGTTCAAAGCTAGTAAATGTGTAACTGACCTGTTACATAGCGTCAAATCGTCGAGCACGCTTGCGGCTTATTGCCGAAAATGCGACAAAGGATGAACTACGACAGTTGATTTGTACCTAAAATATTAAACGCTTTAAATATCTATTGGAATAGATGGAGATAAGCTGCTCTAGCTCTTCCAGTAATGTTGTAGATACCTCAAAGCTTAGAGGAAACACGAGCTAAGAAAAAGGATTTGCAATGTCTCCTCCAAACATACTTTGGACTTGAACGTCGCTTCAACGACCTTCTGAAGTCTTCTTGAAGTAGGCCATTGCTTCGCATGCAATGGAGAACCTGCGCAGAACACAGAACAATTATTTTTATCAGGGAGGGGAGTCCCGTTGTCTTAAAGAAAAAATTATTTGTTATTTCATTTGTAAGAAAAATTTCTATTTCTATACGATAAATATTTGATTGACATTTAAAAGCTATTTTATAAAGATTTTCAATTTCTCTTTGCGTTTTAGCTTCGATTTTTCAGATGGAATAACATGACAGGCAGCCTACTCTACTGGGTCGAGTTTTGCAGTGCAAATTCCTCCTGTCGGGGGGTTATGTTTACAACATAAGCTTGTCAGCTTTGCGCTGATTGGCTAGTCGCATTTTCTCAAATCACCCAGTAGAAGTAACTGGAAATAAGGTAGAATACAAGGTACGAGTACTTCCTCTGGTTTCAAGTTACTTCACGTGGTACAAATTACAATCAGGGATTGGCTGCATGCCTCATGAATAATTAATGAGTATGAGAATGTCACTACAATATAAATATACTCGATGATCTCGATGCAAAAAAGTATCTTATTGAGAACATCTGAGGCAGCAACTTCCTCTGCGGTCTTCTTTTGACCAATTAATTCTTTAAACAGCTCGTCTCTTTGACTCATAAGGTTATTAACGTCAAGGTCAGGTTCTTGAACGCTCTCTTCGCCTGAAATCAGAAAAAGGCAAAACTCTAAGATAAATGAAGAAATGCAGCTTAGAAATCATTGTCCAACAGTACTTACTACAATGTAAAGGGTTATCTTCCAAATGTATATTGTTAAGGATTAAGTCAGTAGAGTGAGCGGTATGCTCTATATTTCAACTAGCTCTATAAGAAAAAAAAATAATTACTTAAATTGTACGGTATGAAAAATTGTGCTTGCATATATTAGTCCTCACAAGATAATTGCTACAATTTATTTTACTTTCCAAGTATTACCTTCATTGAATGCATGTACATTAGTAGAGTCATCTTTCCTTTGCTGAGTTTCCTCATCCTCCTCCACCCTTGCCTTATCTGAAACAAGAATTCATTTATTTTTTACTACACTTGCGTGATGGAAACTTATACACTTAACACGTTCTAATTCTTACCTCGTGCTTGTACTATGACTACTATGAGACCGATGACTTGCCCTTGTGGACTCCCTTCTGAATGGCTTGCATAAAGCCGGCCCAGTTTGGTTGTCGAGTTACTTCGTTGAATAGCAATGAGGTCTTCCAAAGGACGTCTAATGTAGCTGTTGGGTCCTCTATCTTAGCTATGACAGCCTTGTTGAATTTGACTTCTAGAGTTGCCTTTCTTGGTTGTGAGGGAGGAAGAATCTCTATTGCTCATCTACCTGCTGATGTGATGTCTTGCTTACAGACTTTCTTTCTTGGAATACGGCTCATGATTTCAGTTCCAGGAGTAACCGCTGCTATTATACCCATTCCATGGAATGTGTTGTGTACGTCAAGCGTGTGCAGGTTATGATCAACATTGTCTGTGACGTATTGAACAAATTGCTCATTGTATTCAGGAATAGATGTCCCTTGTTCTACTGCGGCGTTTTGTTTATACAAAAGCACTTCTTGATAGGAGGAGCAAAAACCAAGATTGTGAAGCGTGTCAATAAGGAATCGGGAAGCCAATCTGTGGTGAAGTTGAATTGCTAAACCAATCTGCAAAGGCGCAAGGATAGAACGTGGTCTCGTGGATTGGATTAATGCTTGACCAATGGCTGCTACCTTTAAAGATGTCTTTGCACCAGAGAACATTTCCTTGAGAAGAAATTGGACTGTTGGGGGTAAATATTGGACCTGTTTTTCCACATCAGTGTCTACTAAAGGGTAGTAATTGTCGGTTGACGTCTCCATTGCTTTTAGATCACTGCGTAGAAGTCTTATATCTTCCAATTTCTCATCGTCAGTATTTATGCGCTCCCTCTGCTTCGTGTGGAACTCGTCCAATATAGACGCAGCAGTCCTTCTGAATGTTACAATATTCGTCTTTCCATGTTTGCTAGTAATTATAGCGCTTTCTCCGGAATGCTACGCTTTCTCCGGAATGCTACATCAATCGTTCCTTCATATGGCGAGTACTGTAGGCTCTGTCCGAAGTTGACTCTCCTAAAAAGATCTTGCATTTTTTGAGTCAGGTCACCGACAGTAACTTGCTCATCGTCGTTCTCTTCCAAGTATTGGACGACCTTCAAAAAGGCGTCGTTTAAAATTTTGTCCACTGGACGCCCGCTTTTCCGTTTCTTTCTCTCTGGCTGATCGTTAGTAAATGATCCTGGAATGTCCATTTTCTTTCTAAAATTGGTACTACATGAATGGTGATAAACAGCATCAGCAGCTGGAAGGTCATGAACGCTTTGTATCCTTGCGCGTACCATCTCCGCCCACTCATCGCCTCTGGCCTCACATTCCTTTAAAATTGTCTCCAGCATGTCCATAGTTCTAACAGTACACACAACCCGTGCCCTTTTTCGTTGTTTTTCTTGGTCAATCTCCGTTCCACAAAATAGACAGTCTTTTTTAAATTCAAATGGCAGGTTTTTGCGCGGACGAAGTGTTCTTTGGACATGTGCCGTCTCGTCATCACTTAGACGTAAAGATTTAGCAATATCACTTGGGTGGGTGTATTTCTTTCGACATTCTTTGTGCACTTTGTCACCTTCAACAACAAGAATAGTGCCCCCCCCCTTGCTTTACTAGCACGATTAACCCCGTCTAAGCCTCTAGAGGTAAGAACAACTCCGTCAGATACAATAGTTTCGAGACAAATTGCGCAGTTTTGATTTTCCATCCTGATCCATCCTATTATAATATCAAAAAAATTGCTAAATTACAACTCTGTCATTAGAGCAGCAATACAAATAGTATATTTAATAATTCAAATGAACTTTCAGACTTATTGGTACCGGCATTATTTTCCCGCCAAAATATATTGACACACCACAGGTAGCCCAATATTTATAATACAATCTGATAAATAATTATAGTAAATAAAAACACAGCATCGCATCGCTGTGTTTTAAAATGTAGCTGTTTTCTTTTATTCATTCAAGTAATGCACTATAGATTCAAAGCATATTGAAATATTTTAGCATTTTTATCCCATTCAAACGTCTTATTTAACAGAGTCAATTATTTCAACACATCTTGTTTTATAGTTAATATAAAGTCGCTGAAGTCAGTCAAGAACTGAAATTGATTCATCACTTAGCTTTGTGTATACGTTTGAGAGTAAATAAAGACTTCTTTTTTAAACCTCCTCCTCTAAAACCTTTCTTGAAGAATCCGAAGCTAGTGACACAATTCTTCCCGCGCCGGCGATGTCCCACACGAGAAATAAACATGTGTAGTAGCAGACAGCTACTGTCTGAGTGCGGGCAACATACTTATTTATTACAAAATTCATTATAATTGAGGAGGAAATCTTTTTATTACTGTTTTTTAATGCAATAATTAAACATCCCACACAAATAAAAGCATTTTTTACGTATTTACTGTTTTCTATTCATGAATTAATATTTCACAAAATATAATTATCCAACATACAAAGACTGAAGTAATACTGAAATTTTGAAACTTTTGTCTTATCAAATATAAGTTATTAAGTCACACAAATCTTCTGTGTTATTAATATTTGTGTTTTTAGTAATATCTTTGAAGTCTTTTGTGTCTAAAAGTTGTTTTAGTGCATTTAAAATTGATTTTTTTGGATCAGCCTCGTTCGACGATCTCGATTGCTTGAAAAATATCCTATTTTTCGGGATGTTGCCGTGCTGGTCTTTTTGGGGACTTTTGATATGTTGTTAATAGGATGTTTAGGGACCAATTTCAGTTGGAATTTCTTTTATGGGAATTAATTTTGTAATGATTTGTTGTCTGAACTGCATTTGTTAACCTTGGGATTGTCACACGTGGTTACATGAGATTAGAAACATGCAAATCTCTAACGATATCACAAACTTTGGGACTTTCATGATTTTATACCCTGACTGCCTAGCTAATATGGCTGCTCCGCCCTCCCTTGACTTACTGTTGTGTCAATACAATACAATACAATACAATAAAGATTTATTCCAGATGCAAATGAACACTATACAAATACACATATAAAAGCAGTATAAAGCGAGATACAAAACGGAAAATATAACGAAATAGGCATCTAGGGAGTGAAAAGCAGTTACTAAAAGCATCCTTCCCTTATTTCTTTTACAAACGTATCAATTAGCCTAACTCCTTATCAGTCTCTGCATAATTTATAGACATGAAACTTGACAAGCGAATGACAAACATCCCTTCCTTCCTTCTTCATTAGGTCGTGAATATTCGCTTTGCAATGGACCAACGAAGCTCTGTACAAAATTCAAACTTGAATATAATTAAAAGTGCAAGATGCATGCTTGTAAATCTAAAACAAGCTTGTGAAGTGAGCTCGCCTTCACGGGTTACCTAAAAACAAAAATGGATAAGTATAAATCATTAAAAGACACATCCGATGACGTAAATCATATGAAATAATAAGTGTTTTTCTACAAAACAAGTATAAATCTTGCACCTTGGTTGGTAACATTCACTAATGTGGGTCCTGGTTGACTAAAAGCGGATTGCGAATCTCGACTCAGTAGTAAAACACAAATGAATCAAGGTTGACTAGACTTTTTAAAAGCACTGCGCCTCGTCTTGATTTCTTTGTATGTGTTTAGTAAGACAAAAATTCGCAAGTCGGCTTTTGTTTCGCCAAAGTCATTAAATAATGTCTTTTTAGGAAAGGAATCGAGACTGACTTACTTAGTTTGAAAAATATGAGCATAAGTCGTTCCTCATCGCATCTATTTTTGTTATAGATTAGAAAACCGTCAACTTTTGGAACGCCAAGATAGGTATGAACACAGATGCCGCTCTTTACATGTTGAAGAGAATGGCTTGGAAGTCTGAAATATAATTGGATATCGCTTGTTAGATGATGAGCGTTCATGTTGTACGGACAAATTCTAGAACAACCCAGTACTGTACGAGCAAAGTCACATAATCTTATTATGGAAAACCCTGATTGAACTGGTCATTCATTCAAACAAATGCAAATAAGAGGCAGTATTGTAATGGCAGACACAAACGGCAAGATAAATGTTATGTAATGTTAAGTAACGATGAAAGAAGAAACACTTACATATTTTTGGTACTGAACTGGGTGCTACACACGAAAGTGAACATATACATTCTATAGTTTTGATACGCTAAAGCAACATTACAGTTGAAAATGTTTTTTGTCTGTTTGTTTTGCTACACAATATTGAGAAGATCCTTCGACAACCCGAAAACATGCTGTTGTTGTTGTTTTGTTGTTGGGGGTAGGGGGGGGGTAGTTTAGTTTCATGGGAAACTTTTTATTTCTGAGGGTTTTAATCTTACTGGCAACAATTTGTTTCTAAGTTCATCCGGCTGGGACAAAAGAGCAGATGTATTTCTTCCAGGAAGCCGTTTAACCCTTCTAACATAAAGGTTAACGATCTTTGTAGTGTTAATATAAGCAAGGAAGTAGCGATTATGACTCCTAATAAAAATTTAATTATTTGTTGAGGATGGTATATATTCATTATAGATGCATGCATGTATCCCCTCCTACAACCAAGGGAGCACAGCAAAATGTTTATTGACCTAATCCGTTGGTTCGATCGAGTTCGTTACCGCCATTTTGTTTTTAAATATGTTTTTCCGCTGACCCATAAGAACGGTGGCGAGCCCCGAAGTGGCGAGCCGTTTTCCGAACAAGCCCCGAAGGGGTGAGAAGTCCCGGAGAGTGCAACCGTTGGATTTGTATCGATAGAAGCGCGAAGTATATTGCTAGGAACAGCGCTCATTGCTAGGAACGAAGATCTGAAGATGTAAGAATGGCCACATCAGATACATCCAAAGATATCTCCAGATACATGTGACACTACTGCCACGTTGTGGGTACGCCTTGTTGCCCCTCCCAAACCAACCAACAATTCACAGCTTTCCAGCAAAACAATTTTAATCCAGAATTTATAATACTGATAATACTGGAACTTAAACGTGTCCTTCAGGATGAATACTCGATGTACTTAACTATATATTTTAACAATATAGCAACTAATGAAAGTTGGTCCTTTACGAGGAACATTCGACTTATTTAACTAGATATCTCAAGCGACTAATTCTAAATAGAATATATTTTTTAGAATAGAATATAGATTTTTTTTTCTTACAAATTTTGTTAGTTTGTTCTATAGTCATTTACTTGCCGGCCTCCTGTATTCACTATACTTTGTACTTTGTACGCTCTTATCGTCACTCTGTCGTCTTTCACTTCAAGTTACTTGGACTTCTTGGACTTCTTAATTTTGACTTGTCGTCTTTCTGTCGGTTAGTCTCTACTTGAACACGTTGTTTATCTTCGGCTTGCTCCTTCGGGGCTCGCCACCGTTCTTGTGGGTCAGCGGAAAAACATATTTAAAACAAAATGGCGGTAGCGAACTCGATCGAACGGATTAAATAAGGTAATAAAGAACATTTTGCTGTGCTCCCTTGCTACAAGATGAAATAGCTATGTATGAGTATAATCTCGAATATCGCTCACGACAGTAGATCACTTCAGTACTGCCGTGAATGAGATTGGAGGAAGATTTTTGGAAGACACATGTCAAAACTGGTTCAGAAAATATGCTTACCTTTTGTGCTTGGCTATGTCATCTGAACATTTGTCAATCAGGACAAGTCTCTGGCTATTGGGATAGTCTCTGTTTTCTACAATTTCAAAATAAGTTTTCATTAAAAGAGCCGTCCCAGGGTGATCCTATGCGAGCCTCGAATTACAGCGAAGACTTTGATCAGCGCCATTT